ACCAACAAAAATAATTAATTCACTAATTCTACACATTAATTCATCAAAATATTAAACTAATTTACTAAGTATAATTCACTACTTAACTAGCTCACTAATTAGTTTAGTAATTAGGCTTCTATCTTAAGGTTTTATAAATAATAGACAAATTATTATTCAGTAATTAGGTTTAAAAAATGACATAAAAATATTATTTTACAAATTATTATTCAGTAATTAGTTAGGCTTCTAAGGTTTTATAAATAACATGCAAATTAATTTATAAAAATTAATAATTAATTCACAAATTAGGCTTCTATTCTAAGGAATTACAAATTATAATTATTATTTAATTAAATCGTAAGTTATAATTACTATTTATTTATTTCACTAATTATAATTACTAATTAATTATTTTGCTAATTATGATTCTAGCCTAAGATTTTATAAATAACATACAAAATAATTTATAAAAATTAATAATTAATTCATTAATTGTGACCTATGGTTCAACAGAAACGATTCTTTACATATTATCAGAGCCTTGGTGTCATGGGTTGGATCCTCACCGCCTCCCATTTAATTAATAATTAATTATGTCTTGTGAAATTTCTTAGCATAGGTAGGTGGACATGTGCATTGTCTACTCTTCAAGCCCAGTGAGCTCTCGTGTGAGGGGCATGTTAGAGATATATAAAACCATTAATGTAGCCTCACCCATCAGCTTAAGCTTTTGGGTTGAATTGGTTCTTTACAGTTTACTTGGTAATTGTTATGCCTCCAGCATATATATGCTTTAAAGCCAAAAAGAGAAAGAATTTTGATCAATCTTGGATAAAAGGGCTATAATTGTTATTAAATTGATAAATCTCAATCAGATATCTTGTTACTGGTTTTCTTCTAATTTTGTAGGAAAACAGGACAAAAAGAAGCCTAAATTGGAAGCACAAGTCTGAAGTCCCGCACTATTAGCGCGGGTGTGGCGCTAGTAGCGCCAGAAGAACTTTTCAAGGCAGAACCTCCACGCTACTAGCGTGGAACTAGCGCTAGTAGCGCCAGACTTTCAAGCCAACCACGCTTGCAGCGTGGGAACCACGCTAGTAGCGCGAAGCTGCAGTAGGCTGAATAAAACTCTCATGCTATTAGCGCAGAACTGGCGCTAGTAGCGCGAGAGTTACGTGAGAAATTTTTAAACAAATCCCAGGCTGAATCGGAGAAAGATTGAACCAAGATACACAATGAAGATTCAATCAAGATTTCTAAGCAAGGCATAAACTCTATAAATAGAGACTCATACCTCAGAGACAAGAAATCTTTGGCTGGAGAGAATTCTTGGAGGCTCACGCTGGAGATCAGGATTCCGACGGAGTTCAAGAACGAAGACCATTGATCTTTCATCTTCTTTTTCGTTATTGTTTTCATGAATACTTTTTATTTCTTTAACTTGTTTAAGTCATCTATGTCTGGCTAGTTTCTTTTTGTAGTTGGGATCACGGACCCAATGTGAATCCTTTATATTTCCTGTATTGCTATTTTATAATTTAATTAGTTAGTTTTTTTTATTCTACATGTGTTAATTTTTCCGTATCCTGTTTAGAACTGATCACTCTAAATTATAGGACTTTGAGGGTTAGAATCCACAATAGACATATTGAGATTTTAATCTGGATAAGGGTAGAATAACAATTTATGTATGATCTAGACATAGGCTTACATAGATTGCAGACTCATAATTCATTTGTTTAATGCTTGATTCAAGAGGAATTACTAAGACATTAGGATTCCAATTGGGTTAAAGGGTTGAAATCACTAAAATATTAGGGTTCAACTATTTTATAGGGAAATAATGAATTGTCTGAGCCAACTAATTAAGTAATTATAAAATAGAATATAGGAATATAAGGGGAAATCGAAGGTGAAGTGCATCCTGGCTACATCTTTTTTACAAATTTCTATCAATATTTTCTTACGTTCTTGATCTTTTCTTGCATGCGTTGGAAATTAATTGTTTTTAATTTTCTGTTTTTAAATATTATTTTATTTTAAATTCTGTTTTTAAATTATAAACACTCAATTACTTTCACAAACCAAACCAATTTTATTTTCCAACTTAAGGGGAATAGTTAAACTAGTACTTGGTGCATTAATTCTCGTGGGAACGATACTCTACTTATCACTTTATTACTTGAAACGAACGGTTTACTTGCCGATTTCGCAACAGTAATGTATCTAAAAAAAGTTATACTATCTAATTAGTCAGAAATGATGAATTGAAGGAAGTTTCCATGTCCGGATGAAATATGTCAATATGACGATGATTGAAGAAACAATGATAGGAACCAAGACTCAGAAGAGTTACTATACTATAAACTGAGAATCAATGGGAAGGTGATTAGGGTAGAATATGGCTGGTGGTGAGAGAACATGGCAGAGTTTATGCAAGTCAAGTGATGGAGATAAAGATTTTTATTTTGGAGTGTGATTTAATATTTATTTAGTGAGAAAGTTTTCTTTAAGCGTGAAAAATGTGATGTCATAACCGTTTTTAACCCTTTGAGATCCATAACGGTGTGAGATTGCGTGACTTCTCACCTTCGGATGATTTTTTCTTCAAAGGAAAGATGGTGCAATTGGAACCTGTTTTCAATTCGTCCGAACCAAACTCTAAAGCTGCGTTATTGTTGCCACCAATTTTTGTGTTTTCAGGTTGGGACTTAAGAAATCCAAGTCAAATGGCTCTGACTCTGCTTCTGCAAATTCGAAGCAGCAACAGAGAAAGCTTTTCACGGTGAAATTCAAGGTTGAAGAAGTCCCCATTATGTCCTTTTTCACCAGAGATAACAGCTAAAATGGAGGAACAAGTGTTTCAGTTAACAAAGCCTCCCACAACCAGAACACCCAGGAATCACAGTCACAATCACCTTATGAAGAGAAACACTTCTTAAAAGAAGTGATGCAAAAGTATTTGAAGAAGGTACCTTTCCATTTTACTTTTGGCATCTTGTTTTTTCTCTTTCTGAATAATACATATACCAATCTTTTTTTCTTCTTTTCCTTTTTTTAATATTCCATAGCTGATTAAGCAAAATTATATTATTGTGATTATCATTATTATTATTCTCGCGTCGACGATGTAGACGGTGGATGACAGTGGCGGTGGATCATCAGAGTGTCGTTGAGCTTGGGAGAATCAAAATGATTGGGAAGGTTAATTTTGTAAAATTATCACATATTCCCATCAATATTTTACAATCAACCAAATATAACATTAGAAAAATTGACCCAACATTTTCGAGAATATTTTGGCCTACCAAACAATTGTTCAATAACATTATCAGAAAAGTCATTTTCCCACTATATTCCTAAGAATTGTGATTCCCAGATAAAAATAAAATTTCTTACCAAACACCCCCTAAGATAATCATGTGTATAAAGAATCCATGCACTTTAAGGTGTTTAAGGGCCTGTTTGGTGTGATGTATAAGGCTTGATAGTATACGCTTATACTATACGTTATGACATTTTCAGTTGTTTGGTGTGATCATCGTATAATATAAGCTTATACAGCAGAATCCCTTAATATATCAAAATGATGTATAACTTAATCAAACCTAAGGGGGTGAGATTAGACTTGATAAGGGATTGATGTATTAATATTGCTTACAAGTATAATTTTCAAGAACTAATATATCATTTCAATATTAATGTATTAAAATAATTTTTTCTAATATATTAATTTTTAAAATATTAGAGGATTTTATCTTATGCAATATCATACCAAATGCTGGATAGTATTAAAATTTAATCAGGTCTTATACAATCAAGTATTATACTATCAGACCTTATCCAATACTATACACCAAACATGCCTCGAGTGTTTCCGGCCTTATCAAACGGTTAATGAGATGACCTATCAAAATTATATGACTGGTAAAAAATACTTTCTTTTTAAATTACAGACAATATATTCTACGTTAAGAAAAATTATATTTTCATAAACACCCAAAAAAATGTTATATTTTTATAACTTACTTTTTAATTTTAAAAGGGTAGTACACGGGGGGAGTACCGTAGTGAACTATCTTTTTTTTTGAAGTGAACTGCCTTAATTAGAATGTGAAATCTATTAATTTTTGGTCACTGATTAATCTTTTTAATTGGACTGTTATTTCTTAGTATTTTTATTAAGTGGAATGAAAGAAAATAAAATAGTAATGGAACAAAACATTAATTTAGTCAAATATACTCATACTTAATAAATTTCTTGATGATCATCGTACAAAATCATAAATGACAATTATTTATGGATAGAAGAAATAATATTATTCCTGTACAAAATATATCATAATGTCATAGATTTTCTTCCCTTAAATGACAGATATTTCAATTTGCGTAGCCCCTCCACACACAAATTTAAATTTTGCATAATTTAATTTAAATTTCAGAACAGGCATTTGAATATCAAAATGTGGCAAGCATGACTAGGGTTGGGAATTGGATTCGCAAAAGCAGCAGCTAACGACATATCCAGTGACCGTTTGAATTCAAATTCAAACCGAAAACTCCGATCCGAGTTCACGGCCTGTCACCTTGCCAGCGTGGCCGTTAACAGCCAATCATATCCCTCCATTTTCAAATCAACGGAAGCATGTTGGGCCCCACATGTTCCACCCCCGCTCCTAAGCTAACGAATACCGAGCCAGATCAACGGCCCAGATCTGTCCCCATTTGAAACCAACCCGTTTCCCCGCCTCCAAAGTACTATTAATAAATATAAACAATATAAACAAATTTATTACACTCACACACACAAACACAATCTCTCTCTCTCTTTCTTTATTCTGCAAAAGTCTCAAAGAAATAAAAGCGTAACATAAAGAAACAGTAACGCTCTCTTTCTTTCTTTCTCTCTCTCTCTGAAACAGTCTTGGTTGGTTCTTGTATAGAGCTAAAGCCAAGAAAGAAGCGTTCTTGTAATTGTAAATTTGTAATTGTGAAACAAATCGAATTTTGAAAAAAGGATGAGCCAGAATCGTAGTTCATCGTTTTCGTCCTCAACAACATCATCTTTGGCCAAGCGCAATGCACCTGCATCTGCATCATCCTCAAACAACAACGCCAAGAAGGTTTTGGCTAAGAAGCGAGCACCTCTCACTAACCTCACCAATCACATTGCTCCTCCACGCAACTCAGCCCAATCATCTTCTTTGGTATTCATCCTTTGATCCTTTCACTTCTTTAATTGCTTCAAAAATTAAATTAAATTAAATTAAATTAAATAACATTGATGTTGTTAGGTACCATGCGGAACTAAAGTTGCAAAGACCAAGAAAGAGCCTCTAGCATGCACAACTAGCTCAGCAATTTCCGGCAATAAAATACCCAATTTGCCCAATGTTAAACCTGCTACCGTTGTTTTTCCTAAAGCTACTTGTTTCCCAGAAAGGATTGAAGATGCTCCGTCTGTTGCCACCGTCACTGTTCATGTTTCAAGCAACATGGAGTTTTCGCCGAGTAAATCAGATGGGATGTCAGTTTCTATGGATGAGACAATGTCTTGTGATTCTTTCAAGAGTCCTGAAATTGAATATCTGGACAACAGTGATATTTCAGGACTCGATTCGATTGAGGGAAAGACGTTGAAGAATCTTAACATCTCTGATACTGCAGAGCAAGCAGGTTTCATATTGTTGCAGTTTTTCTTTTCATGTTGCCTATTTAGCTAGTCTCGTTGGCTTGACTTCTGTACTGATCTTTTTTGATTATTTGGGATATGATTTTTTTCTTTTACCCTTTTGGTAGTAGTATTACTATTAGTGCCTTCTAATGTAGGATTATCAATTTGTTTGCAGGCGGCAACTTGTGCAGTAGAGACATACTTGTTGAGTTGGAAAAAACAGACAAATTTTTCAATGTTGATAATAATTACATGGATCCACAACTCTGTGCATCCGTTGCTTGTGATATCTACAAGCACCTACGTGCATCTGAGGTAAAGCTTCATTTTCCCTGTTAACGGTAATCTCTGTTGTGTTTGCATTTTCTATGTGGAACATTATGATTTATTCTGGTTTTCACGGCCAGAAATATGCCAAATTTAGCTATCAAAATAATTATTATTTATTCCAAGTATTCTTATCTTTTCCAATTTCTGGAATCTTAGGCAAAGAAAAGGCCTTCAGCAGACTTCATGGAGAAAATTCAGAAGGACATAAATCCCAGCATGCGTGCTATATTGATTGACTGGCTTGTGGAGGTAATGTTTGTTTATATAGTAAATTGGTCATGTGGATTTTACACCCCCTACTTTGAGTCTTGACACATGTGAAGTTCGAACATATTGATATTATTAAATAATTGCAAATGTGAAATTTACTTTATTTTTGGCAATATCATGTCTTAAATTAGACTGAACTATCACAACTTCTTGCCTATGCTAAATATCTATTTCTGATTACAGGTGGCTGAAGAGTACAGACTTGTACCTGATACATTGTATTTGACAGTAAATTACATAGATCGGTATCTTTCAGGGAATGTGATGAATAGGCAAAGGCTACAACTACTTGGTGTTGCTTCCATGATGATTGCCTCGTAAGGAATCATATAAGTCCCTCGTGTTTTTCTGATTGATGGGGTTTCTACCATATTTTTTTCTAGGATTGATATAAAGGGACGCAGAAATAAAATTTGGTTTTTGGTTCTTGTTGGCAGTAAATATGAGGAGATCTGTGCACCTCAGGTGGAGGAATTTTGTTATATAACTGATAACACGTACTTCAAAGATGAGGTTTGAGTTGAATTCTTTGGTTTAATTTTGCGGTTTCTAGTTACTTGTTTATAGTATTTGAAGTGTTCAAATCTCAAGCAAATTATTCGATGCAGGTTTTGCAGATGGAATCTACTGTCTTGAATTTTCTAAAGTTCGAAATGACAGCCCCAACAATTAAATGTTTCTTAAGGTAGTAGTTAAGGGATGATTATCAGCTTGACCTTTACGAAGTTCTTTTACGCTGATCTCTAATACATCACTTTTTCTTTTAAAATATTTTTTCAGAAGATTTGTTCGTGCAGCTCAAGGAGTCGACGAGGTATCTTCCCTGCTTAAGCTGGCCATTTATAAGTTATGCGTCAGTGCCATAGGAAATGTTCATATAATGTTGGACCATGTTATTCACAGGGACATTGCTTTGCAATTATACGCATATCGATTCTAAATTATTAATTAGAGTTAGAAATGCAATAAAACCATACTTTAAGCAGTGGGGGTGAAGGATGGTCGATGCTTTTATTTAATTTAATGAGACAAGAAGAATGGAATTCTATAGAGGCTCCGATAACATTGTTGCCTTTTTTAAAGAGCATTAGGCTGAGAAATAAGATTTCAGATACCTACCTTTTGTTTAAATTTATTTATTTATTAATTATTTAGAAAATGAGGGGGATAATAATCAAACTCTAGAATATTTAATAATAGAGGCTTTGATATTAAGCCATTTGGATTGATGAGGAATTGTGGTAGTTTGTACAAAATTATGTGTTCAATTCCCACCCTTATATCCAAAAAAAAGTAGATACAAGGGTGGACAATAATCATTTAGAAAATGAGGGGGACAATAATCAAACTCTAGAATATTTAATAATAGAGGCTTTGATATTAAGCCATTTGGATTGATCTAATGGCGAGGAATTGTGGTAGTTTGTACAAAATTATGTGTTCAATTCCCACCCTTATATCCAAAAAAAAGTAGATTTTGATATCATCATTGGCTTTATATATCCACACACATTTGGAATTCCTAGAATGCATTTGAATTCTTTTAATAATTGGTTCATTATAATTAATTTCTAATTGAAGTCAAAAGAAATATAATATAATAGCAGTGGTACTTGTAGTTGTTGCTACGTAAAAAAGATACCATTGCTGGTGGCTATTTCAAATTTGTTGTTCTTGTTCATGATCTATTTTGCATATAATTATAATTATTGTTATGAATTCCATTTCTAAAGTATTGCCCCATTCTTTGGTGGTTTTATCCATGGATTTCTCAGGTCCCTTCACTGCAACTAGAGTGCTTGACAAACTATATTGCCGAATTGTCTCTCTTGGAGTACAGCATGCTTTGTTATGCTCCATCACTTATAGCTGCTTCTGCAATTTTCCTGGCCAAATTTATACTTCTTCCTTCAAAGAAACCTTGGGTATGTTGCTAATAACTAAGATTATGTGTACCATCATTACGGGGTTTTATTTATTGGTATGCTTGACTTAGTTTTTCTGTTTTTTCAACAGAATTCCACATTGCAGCATTACACCCTCTACCAGCCTTCTGATTTGTGTCTTTGTGTAAAGGATCTCCATCGCCTTTGTTGTAATAGCCCTAATTCTAATTTGCCTGCAATTAGGGAGAAATACAGTCAGCACAAGGTAAACATCTTGCCTTGTTATCTTGCATGCAGGAATAGGACTCCACCCCTCCTCCTCTCTTTAAAAGCACACACGCATTTGCTTTGTTGTTCACTTGTTACCATATAATCTATTGGAGTCCTATCTCATAATTTATTTGTGTTTCAGTACAAATATGTGGCCAAGAAGTACTGCCCTGCATCAATACCTCCGGAATTTTTTCAGAATTGAGCAGAGATGACAGTCCAATTTCCGGTTGGATGATAGGCTTAGATTGACTTAACTTCTGTCCCGAGAGAGAAGGCACTTCTTCTCTGTACACTGTATAATGTAGTTGCCAACCCCTTTCATCGTAATTAGAAATTTTGTATCTGCTTATTTTGATGTGCATACCGTTGATGCCCCCACAAATTCACAAAAAATCAACGCTTCAAGAGGCAACTTGTATTATTAGCTACTGCTTCTGCATCATTAAGGGCTAGAAGAAGCCAATGTCTAAATATTGTCCAATTTATCCAAGCCTTGCGGCGCCCTGGGAAAAGGGTATTTAATACTGTTGAACTGAGAGGATCTATTAATACCACTGCTTACCTTAAACCTGCTTAAGCAATTCTGCATTTTTTTTAATATAGCATCAATAAACCATAATAGAGCTTGGCTCAAGTCATACCGTGCCTTGGGAGATTGCTAAATTTCACAACCTAATCCTTAAAAGGTTTTTAAAAAGAGCACAATAATTATATATACATATGACGTTTCACATGCTTCCATTTCTAGAGCTGCTTCTGTCTAGTACCCCCACTACACAAGGGGAAGGCCTAAAGTATATAAAATGACCGGCCTTACAAGCATCATCAAAATCACATTAATAAAACACGTACAACCTATAATATTTACATCCCACATTTACTGAAGTATCATACATGCAACTTAACAGTACCAAACTCGTTATTCAGCAGTAGATAATTGATGGCTTACACAAATATTAGAGCAGAAAATGGCACCAACATTTATAAACCGCACTGAGCATTTGATACAGGGCTAGTCATACTCATAGCACTAGCAGCAGCAGTCACACCCGCAACTGTCCCATTTGGTATGTTGTTGAGCCAATGACAATCTTCAAAAGAGCAATAGGGACCCTTCGGCCTCTCAACATTCACTGGCTTCATATATTTAGGTGACCAAGCAGGGGTTCCATCCTCGTACGAATTATGGGTCAATCTCTGGATACCTGAACCATCCAATCTAACGGTGAATATTTCACCATATGGCTGGTAGTGATGCGGGTTGGAGATTGGCTCTGCTGATATGCCAGCATAGTCTGATGTGAACACTATACTCTTCCCATCCGGGCTAAAATACGGGTGGTTTGTCCTCCCACCCGACCCGCTTTGAATCAGCTTCCTCAACCCGGTTCCATCCGGGTGGATCAGGTAAATCTCGAAGCTCCCACTACCCGGGTCATGCCGGTCCGATGCAAAAGCGATCCATTCTCCATCAGGTGACCAATTGCACATTGTGTCAGACCATGGACCCTCCGTCAACCTTCTAAGCCCGTTTCTCTCTCCACCAACCGCATCCATCACGTACAGGTTCTTATGACCCGACCGACCCGACCGGAACACTATCCATTTTCCGTCGGGCGAGAGTGACGGAAAAGCGTTGTTCTCACCGTCCAGGGTCAATCTCTTGAGACTCTTCTTGTTAATGTTGATGGATACAATATCAACCTCGGAGCTCTCCGAAGCAAATGTTTCGCCGATGGCAGTGTAAATAACTCCGGGTCGAACCGGGTCCCACGCGGTCGAGAAGACAGTAACGTCGGAAATCTTTCGCAAGTTCGAACCGTCCCGGTTCACTACATAAATACCAGGCAACCCAACGTAAGCGATTTGGTCCCCAGAGGGTGAGAAAACCGGAAAAGAACCGACGAACCGGAAGAGAGTTAGACCGGGCACGGGGCTCCGAACATTCTCTAGCAACAACTGGGGGCTACTTTCCTTTCCGTTGGGTTCTCCCCTGCACTTGTGGTACCCGACCCGCGACGAATCGGGCGAGATGAACGGGTTGAGGTGGTGAGCCCGAGGCGAAACCAAGCGAGTCAGCTCCTTGAACTCGTTGTTAACCAGGTCGAATAGCTCAACATGACGAAAACTCGACCCCGGCCTTCTCGTTGCGACGGCGATGAACTTGTTATTTCCCGGTGAGGTTGCAGGTGTGAACGCGTGGAGACCCGGTGGGGTGACTCGTTCGATCACCACCGAGTCACCGAGAATCGCTCTGTAAATACTCCACCACTGGTCATCGCCTCTCCGGTGAAAGTAAAGAGTGCGATCGTCGACCCAACAGGGCCAGCCACCGTGTTCAACAACCTTGACTCGCTGAGTTCCATCTCGAGTTAAGAAAACATAGATGTCGGTAGTTAAATCCTCTACCTCACCGTCCCAACCGTCAGCGCCGTAGGATGCCACCGCCGTCAAGGTACCTGACGGAGACACGGCGGGGCTGAAATCAGCCTCGCCGTACGGGGTGAGCCTTCGGGTCAGACCCGATTTGAGGTGGGTGGAGTAAACCGCAGCCCAACTGACACGTGGCAAACCCGGGTCCTCGTGGGTGGATACATAAACCAAATATTCGCCATCGGGTGTCACAGTAGGCTTGTCTTTCATAGAAACTTGATTTGGTAAAAGAGGAACTTGGATTCTATCTGCAACAACAGATTCAAGAGCTGATCTTTTTCTCCTAGTTGTGGTTGTATAAACGGCGTCGTAGTATATGGTGGGGAAGCCGTTTCTCTCCGTAACGTAAACGAGTTGCAGAGGTGGCGGGTCGTTGGGAAGTTGGATATTGGTGTGGTTGGTGAAGTGGCCGTTGAAATTGACGGAGTGACCATCGGTGATTCGTAATTCTTTGTTAGGAGTGGATCGGTGTTGTTGAATTGGGAGGGAATAGATGTCGAAAGCATAGTAAGCTCTGCCAAGTGTAGTGAAGATGATGCTGCTTGAAGCTTCCTCAGCTGCACTACGTAAGGGTAACAGTAACACTACCCACAGAAAAGGTAAGTACCGTAGTGCTTTCATTGTTTCTGAGAAGGAAGAGGGGAATCGTGTGGTGGTGAATGCTGATGATGATGAATGCAAATGCACCTTTACCTTTGAAGAACTTGTATTCAGGTGAAAAAAATAAAAAATAAAAAATGTGATAAGGTGGGGCCATTCTAATATATCCTTGTCCATATCTGTCAATTTTTATCCTTTGGGTATTATTGGACGTTGGAGATATCTCTGGACTCATATCGTGGCAATTTTTATTCATCACAGATATTTGGAAGCCAAACCTTGGTATGTTATAATAAGTATAAAGATGTATGTATATTTGAAGAGATGTCTTTTTTCTTTTTTCAGACAGTATTTATTTCTTCATTTTTTTATTCAAATATTTGTCGTGTGCAATGACGTCTGCTGCAGATATTTCTTGCAAGAACTTTTTTATTGGTGCTGTGAAAGTAAGGGGAATCGAAGGCTATCAGTATTTGTGGTTCTGGTCCTTCCTGGACACTGGACTCCAGTGAAGTGAGGAGTACTGACTGGTTATTTGGTTTCATATGTCTTGTGCGTTACATATTTTGTAGGTCTTTCGGGCCTTTGTTATTATGGCATTGTTTGGTCTTGTAGCTCTGTTGGGCCATTGTTATTAGGGCATGTTTGGTGTTTGCAGGCTTCAATATATTCTTGGACAGTCCGAAGTTTTACACCACCCGAGTAATAAGTTAAAATATTCCTAACTTGTTTCCAAAAAAAAAAAATTATTTACTGAGGATGTTCTTTTTTTCTTTTTTTGTACATACCTATAAATAAGGATGTTCTCATTAGTTATAAGTATGTTCTTTTTACTTTTATATTATCATATTGCCAGAATATCAAATGACTTGCACATATAGTCTACTTTATAGATACTTGTCATAAACTATCGTATTAGCACTCTTATGACCTCTAAGGTGAAGCTGGTATCTATTTGAAGGTATGGACGGATCTAAATTGTGATTTTAGGAAAATTCTTATTTTTATTATCTCATCTCAAGGTATTACCTATGATATCTTGAGTTAAGATTTTACTTTTAACACTCAACCAAAGTTTTACATTTTACACTAGGTTAAGATATCATTTCTATACTATGGACAAACTTCATTAATTGCTTCCTCACTATGAATAAGAATGTTCTCATTAGGTATGTTCTTTTTACTTTTATATTATCACTGTCAGAATCTCAATTTACTTTGATATTATAGTTTTATTTTGTATATACTTCACTTGTCATAAACTATAGTTAATGTATTATCACTCTTATGGCCTCAAAGGTGAAGCTGGTAGGTATTTAAATAAATGGACGGATCGATTCTAAATTGTGATTTCACTTAACATTTGTATGTATGTTTGTTTTGAATTAAAAGTGCATCAATTTTTTTAAGATAAAGTTTTAAAATATAAAATATTATTTTTAGCTTAGTGTGCTTAAATTAATTTTGTAAAATTAAAATAAAAAATAAAGTTTGCAAATACTCTCACCTAAATACACAAACTTAAAGAGTTGGGTTGGGGTGCTAAAAGACTTCGACTGTATGTATTTTTCAGACTTCATTTTTGTTGGCCGAACAATAATAAGATAATAACAACGTATGCTAATGTGTTTTTACATAAAATATTTTACAGAATGAAAAGTTATTATTTAAAAATGTGATTAGTGTTTGTCTTTTTAAAGGACATAAAATTGTATCATTTTAAGTGAGATAAAGAGATAGACAATGGAGATACCAAAAAAAAAAGAGATAAACAATGAAAATCATGGAGGGGGAGGGGGAGAGATTTTTTTTAATTTAAATTTAAAAAAAAATACTATTTTTAACTAAAATGACAAATATTTTTTCCTTTAAAAATTGGGTTTATTGTTTCTCGTATTGTTAGAGATAAATTTATTTCTTACATACATATGTAATTTTTTTTTCTCTTTTCTTCTCATATGGACTCATATGAATTCCACACAATTTGATATGTAGAGATAAAATTTATCTCCTACAATAAGATAAATATTAACTCCTTAAAAATATTATTCAACGGCAATTCAATTTATTATGGAGTAAATATTATAAACTTTAGTTTACCATTTCCAAAAAAAAAAAAAGCTTTAGTTTATCAGATTATTCCCTATTATCATTAGTGACACTTGTATACATTTTTTTTTTTACTCTTTCCTCTCTTCTAATTAGTTGTCACATCTTTATTGGTTTGAATTATTAAAAAATTGGTGTCTGAGAGCACCAAAAATCTTCTCCGTTAACAGATATTGCTGCATTTTTTCATCATTAAAATATTTAAAGTTTTTAATTTATTTTTCATTTCCCTATTTGTCTGAAAAAAGAAAGAAAACCATGGTTGTTTTGTTGGTTACATTGCCCTCCCGGTTCGAAGAACATTTGTGTTGCGGTTTGACTAACACAACCATAGACGGAACATTACATTTTTTGTGGACAAAACCGCGTATGCTTCTTTTCTTTCTCTCTCTTATTTTTTTAGGAAACTTGGTCACTAAGTATCTTTTCGCATCTCTCTCTCTCTCTCTCTTCTCCAATTTCATCCGAACTCGTTCCATTTCAGTCAAAAGCAAAAAAATCTCATCATTTCACACTCTGCAACTCTTGAATTCGAGGTACAAAGTGTGATTATCTCCATTTCGACCTTGATCGAAGTTTTGAACTTTACTTATTAAAGGATGAGTTGTGTAAGTCTTCAATTCATTAAGTGACATTTTGTCTGGTTTTCCTCATATATGCAGTTTGAGTCATGAGCTTCTTGAGGCCCTCTGCATTGTACCACTTTCTGATCACTTATCCTTCCCTGCAATGGATGCCATGTCAGAGTTGGGGCTTCCTTCGATGGCCTGGTCTTGACGGCTTCTTGAGGCTTTTGGTGGTTGTTCTTCTCTGGTCTACCTTCTCTGAGCTTCGTTACATACCCTCATCTTCTATGTACCCCACCCTTCGTGTTGGCGATCGAATTATTGTAGAAAAGGTACACAAATATATTCTTCTTGTTTTGAGTTTTGACCTTATTCCCCCCCTTTTTTTTTGTTTCTTTCCTTGATTCATGATCTACCTTTATACATGATCTCATTGTTTGACGTGGGAGTAGGACCTTTATCTTCTTTGGAATACTTTCGCAGTTTTAGTTGTCCTTAGAACTAGAACGTTTCCATATGTCCCAATTTGGATTTGCATGCATCTTGTTTTTCTCTAAGTGGAATACCATAACTGATAGCCTGATAGTGTTTTTGTTTCTTCCCCCTCCATCTCCCTTCCTTTCTGCTACTATCACTGTCATCTACTGTTGCTACTAATTGGAGTATCCACAATAATAAGTTATAAGCCGTTGACCCGGTGGCATCTTTTCTTGAGCATGTAAGTTTATCTTTTCCAATGCTGCTTATTTTCAGGCCTAAAGTTGTAGCAATTGTTTGTGTTTGATCGTATATTCTGGCATATTTCACTTAGGAGAACCCTAGAAGTGTTCTTTCAATGCCTTTTTAGGTTTGTGTCCTGAAAGATTCCAATGGATGGTTGTACCTAGACTTTTTTTGTATTCAAATACATTTTAACTTTCCATCTTCCCACTTTCCACCTACTAACCAAGCATAATGGATTATGGATATTTTACTATTCAAATTTATCAATTTATTAAAAGATGAATATGATTCTACAAGTTTCACAGCTAATCATTGTTAACATTTCATAATCATGTTTAGATTCCAAGAGTTAAACAGTTTTTTTTTTTTTTTGGGAGAAAAGATCTTCATATTCTCTAGAACCAATACAAACAGTACTTCCTTTCCCTGTTTTACAAGGAAATCAGATAAGCACAAAAAATAGATATTCAATAAGTTGTTCTTCTTTTATGATTTAAATAAAATGCATTGCTGCTTGCAAGTTGCAACTGAAGGATAAATTTTGAACGAGTTATGAATTTACCAGTTAACATGATTGGTTTTGTTGTGAGCTTCATATTACAGCTTTCTACAAGCAAACTGTGATTGGGGTTTGAAATTCCTTTATATCTTCCTAAAACTCTTGATTCTCGATTCATATGCAGAAATTGCATTATCTGTTTTCTTATTTATGACATTGAATATAATCCCTGACAAGTTGTTGAATGGACTTAAGTTCAAGTTTGCTGGAGGATAATGTTGGTAATATATCCTTTTCGGCAGTTTAAGCTGAAGTCCTAATTTAATGTATGGAAGTTTTCCCTTATCTCTTATGAGGAGTTGGTTTTCATGTATTTATTGATATCTAATCGTGGTAATCTTTCCATGGGATTATATACCTTAAAATAAACTATGCTCTTTAGCTAGCATATGGAGGAAATTCCCTTTTCTTGTGAAGCCTAGTAATAATATACTCTGATGGAAAAAATTCTATGAATGACCAGTTGATTTGACATTATTAGTTGTGCTTTATCTTTGCATGTACCAGAATTCGTGGATATTCCAGATTTGAGGTATCTGCTTTAGATTTCTTAATCAATAAAAAAGGGAAAACCCAGTGTACAAAGGTTTCCCAACTTTATGAGGGTACTCATCAACGACACGCAGCCTTACTGTATCTTTTTTGCGAAGAGGCTGTTTCCTACTTGAACTCGTGACCTACCTATCACAATGGAGCAACCTGACCACTTGCTCCCGTAAATTTTCTAATCAATCTTGAAGAAAAATAATTTCTGTGATCTAATGCAACCACAGTATTTACTTTTTTATTTTTAATATTCTTTTACGACTTGTGCTTTTTAAGTGTGATGTTTTGTTTGTTAAACTATTTAGATATAACTTTCAGTATGCTTTTATATATAAATTAGTTTTGAACTATTCGGTATTTTCTGACTAGTAATTCAAGGAATAAGATTGAGAGAATTATGGTTATTAATGGCAAAGATGTTTAGCCATGTGGTTTAAAAGTGAATAACTACTTAATCTAGGCAATGCATTGCACTTGCATGGTTAAGCATGTGATCCAATACATGAAAGTTAACTTAAGGGGATGTTGAAATTTGGAAATGTTCTCTCTCTGATTGGAATGTAATAAATTGCATCCAATCAAGTGATGTGAGGACTAGCAGAGCCAGAAGTGTGCTCCACTTAAGGTTGGATATTTTTAAGTGATCCTTCTATGGTCTAATATATTAAAACAGTTGAATAGATTATTTTTCCTTGGTTTGATGTTTAATTCGACGAGCACCTGTAATATTTTGTTCTTGGTTGTTTGCTGAGGCTTTCAAGGTTATTTTGGCAGTTGATACTATCATATTGAAAGTTAAAGTCTTCAACATATTTTGTATTAAGGGTCCTAATTGTGTTGATTTATCAATTTTCATGTATTCAGCATTTCTAGTTTGCACAAAGGTCTCTGGTTGAAGTGACTAACCATATTTTAGCTGGCCTTCTCCTTCGTTATTTTCCTTTGTCATCTCATTCTAGAATTTTAATTAAGTAGTGAAAAAGATTGAAGAAAAGAGCATGAAATTGACTGAGTCACATATCTTCAAATAAAGCTGTTTTGAGCAACAAATTTTTCTTATATAATATTTTAATCTTCCAAAATCACCTGCCAAGGCTTTCTTTGAATGATTTTGGTCGCTGAAGTTCATTCATATGAAGTGTTGTAAATGAATAAGTTAGACCTGTGGTATTGAAGTTTCAATTCTTGTGGAAAACATGCCATGTGTTTCAAAAGAATAAGTACACATAAAACCTTAGGAGATAGAAACTAGGTCTATTGGGACAAAAGCTTGATGCTGTTGTAGATTAGTGAATCAAACAACTTCATTCCTTTTAATGCTATACTTAGATATAACTGAATAAAAGTGATCAAAAAAGGGTTCAGAATGAAGGATTTGCATAGTTAATGGAAATTTTTTGGTTGAAGCTTGTTATCATCATTGTTATTCATGCTTATTTCTTTCAATGGCTTTGAAGTTTAAGCTAGTGAGAAACTCTACCTTATTATGAAACAAATTTTGGGCATTTCAACAATTTTGAAACTTCCTGTGCAATAATCTAAGTTTGGTAGTCTGTTACTTTATATGTTTCATGCTTATTTGTTCAGCATATATCCATTTCCATCCTGGCAAGAAACACTTCTAGAAATAAGATCAATGGATATTTTCTGGTCTTATCTCTATTTTTATACTTCTTTCTTCATTTTTAATATATGAATCTAAATTATTTTTTAATGCAAACTTCCCCAGGCTTCTTATTACTTCAGGAGTCCTGCTATACATGATATTGTAACGTTCCTGGATCCAACACAGGTATGTTGTAGTGGTATAGAATCTACAGCTTACTTGCAGATCCCTAGGAAGCAGCTGATGACCCAGTTTGGTTACATGATTGGTTTTCTGTGTAGTTTTCTGGAAACAAAACAGATGTTGTTTTTATTAAGAGAGTTGTTGCAAAAGCAGGAGATACTGTTGAGGTATGAATTTCTAATGAAACTCCCTTTCTTTTAGTGTTATACCGAAGTTATGTATCTATTTAGAAATTTGATAAAGCCAATATAGCTAGCAAATATGTCAAGAAGATTCATGGGAATGAAAAATTAATTCCTAAATATACTAGCTTTGAAACCAAGGCTATATTTTTGTTTTTGTTTTTCTTTGATTTGGTCCATTTTGTGCATTATTTTACAAGCTACTATGACAAGCACCGGTAATAAATTAATTCCAATGGATATGTTTGATGAACACAGGGGAATACACTAACATAAGGTTTTCCTCACTTGAATCTTCTAACACCTTGCAGGTTCATCATGGGGGACTCTACATCAATGGTGTAGCTCAGGAGGAAGATTTCATAGCAGAGCCAGCAACATACACAACAAAATTAACTGTTAGACCTTTGTTGATTGCTATGACCCTTTTTCATTTTACTTTTTCTTTCTATAATAATGATGTGACCATCACATTCATGAACATGCTGGGGTAGAAATTGCCAGGATAATGGGCTTTGCATGAATAGCCAACTATACTTTATGTATCTTTCGAATAGATGAGGTCAACAGTTTTGGGCATAAAGGCTTTCTTGGTTAACTTCAAAAGCTCCATAATATCTGATTAAGGATGGCCCATTGTGGAACATCACCTGTTCTGTCCATCCCATTTATGTTTGTTCTGGGACTGGAATTCGAACTACTTCTCTTAATTCTATCCTTATTTTCTTATTGATTCATATTTGCCTTTTATTGATTCATATTTTTCTTTTCCTCATATTACTTCTATCCTTGCAGTATGTGCCAAAAGGCCATGTTTATGTGTTGGGGGATAATCGTAACAATAGTTATGATTCCCATGTTTGGTAAGTAACTTCTTCTACAAGTTACTGTACTTTCATTTTTCCTTTTCCATTAATTTTAAACTTATGGGAGAGGGACGATTTTCTGAATATGTTGATATATAATGCAATTGATCTGTTTTCTAGATGAATTTTTACATCTCTTCTTTTTTGGTAGACTTTTACATCTCTTTTTTAATTTTGAGAAATATGGGTTTTCTGTAGGTGAAATGAGGGAAATTGGTTTTTATAGAAACACTTGTTGTACAAAGACTGTATGAAGGAATTGTTGTTTTTAATCTCTATTTTGTTTGGAAATCTTAAATTAAACTCTTTCTCATATTATTAACTTTTACCTCTTGTTCATCTTGAATCTTACCTTCTCTAATGATGAACAGGGGACCACTTCCTGTTAAAAACATAGTTGGAAGACATGTCATGTGCTATCACAGACCAACAAACATTTGACACAAATAAATTTGAGATGTACTGGAGGAACTATATTCTTTTCTACTTTGGTTTGACCAAGGAGACGGCATAATAGGCCATGGGATTTCCAAGAAGAGTTCCCTCCCGCTGTTCCACTAACGAATCATATCATTTCTCATATGCTCATAGCGAGGCTCCTTAATTCAGAGCATGAAACAAACTTACAGAAAAAAATCATACGATTTCTACAGGGTTCAGTGTTGTTTGTGTAATGAAGCATGTCATTTACTAACTGATATTCGTATAGGAATCTCAGTTTCTTTGGTAGTATTTGTAATATAGGCTTATTTAAGTTGCAGTCAAGGAAATGTGTGAAAGACAAACATCTTTTTCATGTTTTGGACATTTTAAGTCTTGTTTCTCAATTGCCACAGGAGACTTTACTTTTAAAAGTTAAAACATGTAATAGACACATGGCAAAAGCGTCCTGGTAGCTTTTCCAACATAATTGCTTTATTCTTTTACCATTTTTTAGTTCACTAAGCTTGATTTTTAGCCATACAAGTCTTTAGGCAATATCCCTCCTTTTGTCACTGTTGGAGATACTATTATGTTCCTTTTCCTTGCACGACTTTGCTACCAAAAACCAGAGGATAACTTGAATGAAAAGAACCGTTGGAACGTGATGTTTTCTGTTAGTATGGATACATGCTGGTTTGCAACTTGGATGGTTCAATTAACCAGAACTTTGTCAAAGGGAAGAATTTGAAATGCGTGGAATATATGTATGTAATTGTGTACGGATATCCATTTTTTGCGACTTTTGTTAGTTGTGTCCTATCCATCAGTTGGCTCTTGCAAAATTTTTGGAAGATTAATATGCTATTCGGATGAAACCCACTTAATGGGGGGTGGAGGGAAGAAAAAAGTATGTATCTGTATGTCTCCACCTTCCGGTATACTCAAAGAGCTTTACTTCTCTCACGTTGTACGAGGTAAGTTCTCTTATGTTGTGAGATAAATTAAGTGGAGTTCACCAATTTTTAAAAAGGGAAATAATAGTCTCATGTTGTAGGAGACTACTATCTTATGTCATAGACACTTCGATAAGTGTGCTGCTATTTTATTTTATTTTATTCTCTCTTTTTTAGTGGTGGGTCCCATCATTTTGTATCTTAGCATAAGACATACTCTCTCCTACAACATGAGAGTAGACAAACCCTTTTAAAAAAATAAAAAAGAAAAAAAAATGAGACACATCTTTTTATGAGAGTGTAAGATTAGAGATGAATCTTATGTAACATGAGAGTATAATTTTCCATACTTAAAAGGGAAAAACAAAGAAGCTATAGGAGTGGCTCAAAAGAATAAGGAGTTGTTGGAAGCAGTGGCGGGCTCAGGAAAATTAATTCATGTCCGCACATTTAGTGGCAGGAGTTGACTTATCAATGCAGGAAAAACATATAGGGTGAATAACAATTCTAGGCAGATAGAAACTAATGTATAAATTAAGGGAAAAGTGTGAGTCATTTTAAAGGATGTAAAATTGTGTCATTTTAAAGGAGGTAAAGTTGTGTCATTTTAAGGGAGAGAAAGAGATAGATCACGGGGGAGAGAATGGACAAAAAAAAAAGGTGTGGGTCTCACCTTTTTGTGAGAGTGAAGTGACACAAGTTGCTTTATTTAAAATGATAAACATTTTTCTCATAAATTAAATGTTACCAGTAGGGGTGTCAAAACGGGTTGACACGACACGAATTCTACACGACACGAATACATCAACACTAACATGACACGAATTTTTATTCGTGTCAAAATATTAAACATTGACACAACACGAATTTTTTGCGAATTGACACGACACGACACGACACGAATAACACGTAAAATAGGGGTCAAAACGGTAATTGATAAAAAAAATTTAAAAAATGGATTGAAATTAAAAAAATTATAATAAAAAATTATAAAAAAATAATTATAAAAAAATACGGGTCGACACGAACACAAAACGAATTTTTTTGCGGGTCAACCCGAACACGAATTTTCGTGTTGTGTCGCGGGTCGACCCGCGTGTCAAAACCTATATTGACACCCCTAGTTACCAGTGAAGCAAGTATGACAGTAAAGCTATGTCCAATGATTGTTGAGTTGAGCGATTAAAGTGTGCAAACTCAGAAAATTAAGTCATCCTATCTCTTCAGTTACTACCTGAAAAATAGTATTTTGCCAAAAAATTTATTGACATTTAATCTCAACACAAAAAAGATATTTAACATGTGCATTGCAAAATTAATAGTGACTAATATAAATATTGAATCAAGAGATAAATAAGGGCCTGCAACAAAGAAAAAGAAGAAGAAGAAAAACTAAAATCAAATTTTTATGTCCGCAAGTGCGGACATTTGCGCAGACGTGCGTCAGCCATTGGTGGGAAGGGACTATAGAAATAGCAGAAAAGGGTAAGGAGCTGTTGGAAGGACTACAGGGAATGCCAGAAAAGGTTAAGGAGTTGGAACAAAGAGGTAAGGAATGGAAATGAGAAGGCTGCTAAACGAATAAGGGTATTTGACCCGACTCGTAAAAGTTTAGGTTTACATATTTAAAATTGATTGTTGGAACCAGACTTAAATTTGTATAAAAGCTCATACAATAAAAAGACTTCGGACTCCAATTTAAAAGTCCGGCCTTAGAGCCTCTCAGGTTGGCCTAATATACTAACTTTTATTTTATATTTTTTATACTACTCATAATAACCATCTTTCTCTCTTCAACCTATTTCATCCTATTTTATTGATTAAATATACATTTTGAATGATTTTGTTCTATATTATATTGTTTAGATATACATTAAATTTGTAATTTTTTGTGGAATTATTAGTATTGTTGATAGTATATTTTATTTGAATAAATTTTTATTGTCTTATTTTTTTTAACAGATTAAATCATATTTTTATTTTGGGTTTGGTGTTTGTCATTTTAAATGAGATAAGTTATGTCATTTTAAGAAAGAGATAAACACAAGAAATGGAAATCATGGGAGAAAGAAAGTGGGTAATTTTTATTTAATTTAAATTTTAAATAAATTTTTTTCTTGTCTCTATCTCTCTTAAAATGACATAAATTTATGACATTTAAAATGACAAATATTTTTTTCTTTTATTTTTTTGTAACTAAGGCAGTTCACAGACTAATAATTATATTCATAACAAATAACAGACTAGGCCAGATTGACATATTTAAATATAGATTTGACTTTTTAAGATTAAAGTCCGACCTGACTCGATCCGTTAACACCCATAGAAATGTGTTTGTCCCATGCGAATTAGGGGTTTAAACGGGGGTAATGACAGAAGGGAGGAATTGTCTTTCTGTGCAAAAAAGTTAGAGCACATGACACCTGATAACATAATCTGAAAGGCTTTAGTAGTGTATGTGCCAGTGTCACCTGTCACCTTTTATATAACGGAAATATAATTATCATATTACATGACACAAATTACATCATGTTGTAGAGATAAAGTTGATGGAGTCTACTGTTTAATTTGTTTTTTGTTTTTTATTTAAACAGTGGACTCTACTAACTTTATCTCTATAACATGATGTAATTTATATTATATAACATGACCAAACACAATCCCTTTGTATAAAACCTAAACATTTTTATTTTCCTGTACTAAAAAAAATAAACAATAAAAATTTAACCCTCTTAGCTCAAGTGGCAAAGACAATTAGTTTAAAGCTGGATAATTATTATGTCGTACGAATCTCATGAGTCATGACAAATTGACAATTAGTTTAAAGCTGGATAATTATTATGTCGTAGGAGTCTCATATTTATACAGATTTTTTTTCCACTGTGATTATAGAAATATCGGGAACTTCACCTCCTCAAAAAGGTAATAAGGGTCATGATATAAATTTTTTTTATTTTTTTATTTTGTCTTTAACATGTTTAAGTCCCTTGACTACATGGTAAAAAAAAAGTTTTAAGTTCCTTGCCAGTATGAAAAAATGTAACCCAACAATGATAAACAAATTTACAACTACCCTAGTTTGATACTTACTTTGTATTAGTACCCTACATTGGTGAAAAATCCTGGGCATGGTTACAGGCACGAACCTGTGACCAATAAACATGACCTTTTTAATTTGACGATGTCTTTATTCAACTGGCGCACTCGCTCCACCATTTGCGCCATTAGTGACTCTACTCCCATGGTAGATGCTCGATAACACTGTAAAGAACCTTGAGATCATCACTTCAAAAGCTAGCTCAAGGGGTGGGAGTGCTCAAAGCCTTATAAATGCCATATTAGTTGTCCATCCAATCAATGTAGGACTATATATCTTAACACGCCCCCTCACACATTTCATAGGCCCATTTTTGGTTTACCTTTTTGTGCTTTTTTTTATTTTATTTTTATTCCACTTTTTAAGGCGGGGACGGTTAGGCTCTGATACCATGTAAAGAATCTTGAGGTCATCACCCCAAAAGCTAGCTCAAGGGGTGGGAGTGCTCAAAGCCTTATAAAGGCCATATTAGTTGTCCATCCAATCAATATAGGACTATATATCTCAACAAACCCCAAGGGGACAAGCAACCAGAGGCCAATAACATGTGTTAGGTGTACATGTGTACAATGTACTACGGTAAATAAATAGACAGTACAAATGGTGCAGATTCTAACTTGCTAGTCATACACTACGCTTATTAATTATAATCATCGTGAGAGTAGCTTGCCATTCATATACTCCTCTTGTCATATGATAGTTCTGTTTTTGAAAAAAAATAATAAATAAAAAAAATTGGGTCAATTGAGAATTTTCATATAAGTAATACAATTCTCGTGATTATTTGAATTGAGAAAATCCTACAAACCTTACAAGTCGTTAGAAAGGATTTCACAAAAATGATTTGTTAAATACTCATAAAAAGGACTTTGCTTAGAATTGATTAATTCAAATAAAACTGCGGGTAAAAAACGAATAAATATCCTAGAAAACTAACAGTTTTCACTTGGAGTTTCAACATCAAGCCTAAACCTCTTTCCAAGGATGGAATGAGAGAATAGAATCAAGAAATGGCCAATTTGTCAACAACATTCTATCTTAATCTTGACGAATGGCTTATGACAGACGGTGGCCGTAGCAAAACAGGGTTACAAAGACGCACAGCCATCCAATCTATGCAAGTTGAGACAGTGATTCAGTGAATGCGAAATGCGAATTATAGCATATATCTTTCTTTGACCTCTTTCATAGTTCATGTGCTTAAGATATTCATAGCGATGATACCATGACATGAGAGAGGACGGATCGAAAAAATGCTCAGCCACCCAAAGTTAAGTGGTGTCTATAACACTGTTTTATTCTTTCTTGTAATTGATATTCATGTTTCAATGTTATGTAATGAATCTGTTTTCCCACGCTTAGTTTTGTTTATGAATTGATCGTTCATAGAGGAACATATGAATCTTGCATAACAACAGGAATATTGCATTCTTAATTCTAATTGATTAATTGCTAGGGTTTGTATGATCTAGGCATAGACTTATAAATTCTATGACTTTATGATT